TTCTTTCTTTCTTTCTTTCTTTCTTTCTTTCTTTCTTTCTTTCTTTCCTTCTTTCTTTCTTTCTTTCTTTCTTTCTTTCTTTCTTTCTTTCTTTCCTTCTTTCTTTCTTTCTTTCTTTCTTTCTTTCTTTCTTTCGCTAGGCAGTGGGGTTAAGTGACTTGCCCAGGGTCACACAGCTAGTAAGTGTCAAGTGTGTGAGGCTCTATTTGAACTCGGGTCCTCCTGACTTCAGGGCCGATGCTCTATCCACTGCACACCTCACTGGCCCCCCCCCCCCCCCCCCCCCCCCCCCCCCCCTTTCTAGCACCGTAGTATTCCATTATATTCATATGCCATGACTTGTTCAGCCCTGGGCAAATCATTGTAGCTTTTGGGGGCGCCTGAATGACTCATGTAACCTTTATGCCCCAGGCAGCTGGGTTATAAGCTGTAGGACATGTGATGATCTTCATTGGTGGAGGGGTTTTCCTAGACTAGTGAAACCACAGGCCCAAATTTAACAAGTGCCCACTAATTCAAGCCATTGTGCCAGGCGCCACCCCTGCCTCCAAGGGAGTGTGTTTTTTACTGGGGGTGGGAGGGGGACATACTGGATATAAACTAAGTAAATACAAGATATTTTGATTAAGAAGGGAGCACCTAACAACTTGGGGGTTGCTTAAAGCCATCCCTGAGCCCTGAAGGAAGGTCAGGATTCTGAGAGGGCCTCCTCTTAGGAAGAAGGAGGAGAAGCATTTCAGATATTTGGGACAATCTTGGCTCAAAGGCAGGAGATGGAGTTGAAGATTCAGGTTTCAGAAAGCATAATAACACAGAATGAGTCTTCAATGTTAGACTAGAGCCAGACTGATGGCATTGAAATGGCATGCAGAGAAGCAGTAGGGTATAACTAAAGGTTGTTGAGCAGAGAAGTGACTTGACATAGGAAGATGTGTGGAGCAGCTCTGTAGAAGATGGATGTGAGGAGGCTAGTGCAGTACCCAGGTAGGAGGTATTGAAGGCCTGAACTAGCATGGTGGTCGTGTGAGAGAAGAGAATGGGACAGATGTGGAGGAGAAATCTGTGAGACGTGGCAACAGATTAAGGGGTGTGAGTGGTGAGAGAGAAGAGTGGTCAGATTGTAGGCCTGAATGAGTGGAAGTATGGGGCTATACTGTACCCCAACAGAAACTAGCATGTTTGGAGAAAGGGTGGGAGAAGACAAATTTTGTGTAAGTTATATTCTTTGAAAAGAATCATAACATTCCAAATAGGTCCAGAATTTGAAAAGTCATTCCTTCTTTATCGTTCTTTGTCCAGTACATGTGTGTACAAATAAGGCAACCCAAAAACTTCTGGTGAAATAATTTTGGTTATATAAGAAAGAATTATGCCTTTTAAGAGAAGCTGATGTATAAAAATGTGATCTTAAAAGTAATGAAGAGGTTATTGTTTCCTTTATAAATAAAAAGGGCAGAAATGTGTTTAATAAAAAGATTCCCCCCATTTACTTTTGAATAGCCATCTTCCCTTATAAATCCATTTAACTTGGATAATTATGGCTTTTGTTCAGCTCCCTGAGCACAGCTGTATTGGAGAAAATGGAATAAGTGTAACTTATTTAGTCTTAACTTGTTGGCATTGAAATTTTTCACTTGAGACCTTTTTTGGAAATATTCTTTCATTCACATGATGCCTTTAATTTATTCTTAAGCTCTTTAAAAAGCAACTGTGAAAAAAAGGTGCCCCGTTAGTCACCTCCCTGGAAACTTTTAATCTAGTGAAAACCCAGTGAAGAGAAAAAAGATAAGAGAATATTTCAAAATGTTTTTACCTCCTGTGTTTTAAACAAGAGTGTGATTGCTTGGTCATTGTCTAAATTGTTCTGCCAGCTACAAGTTTTTGTTTGAGCTTGGTAATAAGTATGAGTAATATTATCAGCTTTAAATTTGGTCATGGAATGTGAACTGCATAGCTGTGGACAGAAAGGCTCGCTCAATTTGAGCTGGGATGGTAACATTTATTTTCTTTGGCAGACAAGCTCATAGACGAGGGGCATCTAACCAAAGGGGTTGAAGAAACAAAGCTTTTGAAAGGTGAGCCTTTTGGTGTTTTAGTTTTACTTCATTTTTGAGTTCCGTGAATAGTAAAATTATTGTATATATTCTGAAGTTCATGTACTGTCTTAAACCATTATTGGTTTCAAACAGGTTATTAGTGTAACATGAGCCAATGAAAGCATTAAATCATGTTCCTGCACCAATTGACATTAGGATAATCTTGCTTTGAAGTCTAGTTATTTCTTTTTCTGTAAAAATGTGTGTACATACCTTATTGTTTTAAAAGTAATTTATTATATTTGCATTAGCCAGTAAGGTCTAGAATTTTTTTTTGTTTGAACTCACTCATTATGAAATTTCATCAGCTTTTGTCTGGTTATCAGTTTCCTTTTCAGATCAGAGTCTTCATTTTTAGCCCATGACTATAAAGTCCTTCAGCTTTTTGAGCCCAAATCATAATGAAATTAACTGTATTATCTGCTAACAAAAAGAGAAAAAATTGTCATAACTTAAGATCATGTTTTTAAAATGTTACTTTATTTGAAAATATGCTCATGATGTTTTAGGGGATAAATACCTAAAAGTTGATTTTTATTTCAAATGTTGTGTCCTTTAATTTCCTTAACTTTTATAAGCAAGCAATGCCATATTTGGGAAAAGAATGCATATGGCCCTTGTACCTAACATCATGCTGGCATGCAAGGCTTGGGTTTCGGAATAGTGAACTATTTTTAGCATATATGGTAGTTTATTTCCTCTTCATGGGTAATGAGAACAGATTTTAAAATAGCTTTTACTTCATCTTCTTAAAAGTTATTGAAATGAAATTTGTTTGAAAGCCTGACACTTTAAAAGGGAAGGACAAACCTTACTAATTGTCTTCAGGAAAATTATGCTTCTGCCTAATGTTTTGAGGTGACAGTTGCATAGAGTGGCTTAAAGTATGCTTTGGGCTCATTACTGAAAACAATTAGCACAGCCCTAAGAACGAAGGCTTATTAAAAACTTGTAGAAATTCTTAGCAACTTTCAGACTTTGACTAACACGGTTCAATGGCATGCTCAGATGAATCTAATAGAAAGTAAAGCTGAAAACCTAAAGTAAAGTGTTAGTGGGCTGGAAACTCACACTGGTGACCCTGCTATGTCTAATTTTTCTATAGACCTTGAATCTGTAAGTCTGTGTTGATCTGCATGGTAGCATTGGCATCGTGGGCATTCCTTTCTAGTTTAAAAGAATTTGAGCATATATACAAAAGTCAAGCCAAGTCAACAGGCACTTATTAAGTGCCCACTATGTGGCAGGCATTGTGTTAAGCACTGGGGATACAAAGAAAGACAAAAACAGTCCTGGCTCCCAAAGAGCTCGTAGTCTAATGGGGGAAACAACGTGCTATTAAAAGGTTACCCCCAAAATTTCACTTTTTTTTTACAAGAAAGTTCTGCAGAATACTGCCGAATGCCAGAAGTTGCTTAATATTCAGAACCCCAAATTGACAACAGATAAACATAAATGATATGTGTGCCCACTTGTACTTTATAGATTCTTTTATTCTTGAGTGTCATTCTCAAGAATAAAAGAATCTATAAAGTACAAGTGGGCTTGATTCAAATAAACAACGCTCAGTTTGGTATTAGAAGCGCTTTATAACCTGCTACCTTCCTGTTTTTCCAAGCTCACTACACTTCTTCTCAATCTATTCTGTGATGCTTTGACACCTGCTTTCTTGCTGCTCTAAACAGCTCTTCCTCTCTCATCTTGGTGCCTTTTCACAGTTGGCCCGCATGCTTGCAATGCCCTCCCTCCTCACTGCCTGCTGATCTCCCAGGCTTTTTTTGCAGTTCAGCTGCTCCTGGTGCTGCCCCAGTTATGGTCCCTTCCTGGTGTGATTACTTGCCATCTACATTGTCTGTGTCCTGTCCGTGCGTAGTCATTTGCGTGGGGTCCTGACCCCACTAAATTATAAGCCCTATGATGAAAGAGACCTTATTTTTGCCTTTTGTCGTATCCCCTGTTCCTGGCACGGCACCTCATATAGTATCTTGCATGTAATAAGCACTTAGAAAAAATGTTAGTTGAATTGAATTTGGTGACTTAACACTTGAAGTTCCATTTACCTTAACTGACCTTCCATGCAAATTGGCTCTCGTCATTTTCATACATTTTACAGATGCCTTTTGTCTTTGCCTCACAGTCATTCCCATCTTACTCGTTGATCTCCTCTTTGTGACAAAAAAAGTTAAAAAGTGAAATCCATCATAGGGTCCATGCCTAACCCTGTGTGCTCTGCCCTTGTGCTCCTCCAGTGACAAGGTGTGCTTTGTTATTTTTTCTCCTGATGGTCTTCTCTTCGTAATGTCATAGTCATCATGAGTCTCTCGTTCTTTTGGTCCTTTTTAGTACAAAATAATACTCAGTGATGTTGATATGCCATAGTTTTTCAACCATTCCCCAGTTTGTGAACACTTGCTTTGGATCAGATTCTTTGCTGCCACTGAGTGCTACCATGAATATGTTGATATATATTAGACCTTTGTTCGCCATGCCCCAATAATATAATGCTTTATATCTAAGTGGGATCATTGATCTAAAATCATGGACCCGTTAGTCACTTTTCTTACATAATTCTTCATTTAAATCCAGTGTAATCAGACCACTTCACAGGCCATATGCCTGTCTTCCCGTAGCCCTCCAACATCAAATATTCCTGTCTTTTGTTATTTTCAGTTTGCACAGAAAGAGATGAAACCTCCATGTTTAATTTCTTTTATTAGTGTATGCAGAATGAATGCACCGTAAAGAGGGAGCTCACTCAAAGCTATGAAGGTCTGGAAAGGCCCGGTGCAGAAGATCGAACTGTGTTTTGAAGGGGAGAGTGAGCAGAGAGTCGGAAAGTGGAGTAACCTACTTCTCAGAGGAGTAGAGAGAAGGCCAGTTTGGCTGTGCCATATGGTAGAGGGAGTAGGAAGGAAAGTAGAGCAGCACTGAAGAGCAGATTGGGTTCAGATATCTTATTTTATCCTCATGCTAACTCTGGAATATTCTTTGCCTATTGTACAGATGAAGACATTGAGGCTGAGAGCGTAAGGAAAACTTATTCAGGGTTGCAAAGTCAGTAAGTGTCTGAGGAAGGATTTCAACTCCAATCTTCCTGACTCCAGATCCAGTGCTTTATGCCACCTAACGTTCTAAGAGAAAGGGACATTGCATTCTAAATAAGAACAAAATGCATAAAATACCTGGGAGTCCATTTCTGAAGCACACTCACTACCTGCATAGATTAAAGTTACAAAATTCTCCTTAAATTAAACTATTCAAATGACTGGAGAGCTGGTCAGTCCTTTTGGCTGAGCTGTGCCGATGTAATAAGGGTGGTCGGGCAGCACTGCCTTCTTTAACTGAGAGATTTCAGTAAGACTGCATTTCGTGCAAAATCTGTCGTACCCACGAAGCTAGATCTTTATAGAACGAAGTATTGAAAGCAAAATTCATTGCCAGTAGCCTCTGCGAAACTGCTGAGCCCACGGTTAGAGAAGCTTTTATTTATTTTTTTCTCTAAAGGATGTAAAACTGGGGAAGAAGGCATCTCTGCTGCATAATGCCTTTAACTTGATTGTGTCAGTCAGAATGGTCCTTGGAAGATGGAAGTATGGGAGTCATTTCTGTTTCCTTGTATTTTTAGAACTTTCACTTGAGAAACTGCATAGAGCTAGCCCCCAGCCCAGGCAGAGAATCCATAATCATGACTTTCACTATCTCCTTTTCTGAGCTTCTACTGAGAACATCAGTTACAGTGATGCTCTCGTTAAGTTTTTTTTAAATGCTGCTAATTTGTGCAGTTCGTAACTAGGAGTTGACTTTAAAAGGAAAGTGTTCTGAACTTGTTTTCATTTTTTCAGTTTGTAAATAAATAGCACCAAGGCATTTTCAACCTTCTGACTTTTGCTTTTTATTTATTAGAGTCAGGGCTTTTCACCCATGTTGGTTCTTTTGTTGTGTTGGTTTTCTGACTACTTTAGCAAAGTGAATTTTACATGACATTTCACTTGGCAAGGGTACAGCTTTGAGCACAAGTCCCAGCTCTGCGGGCTGCAGCTCAGAGCCGCAGTCGTGTTTAATATTAGCAGTGACGTTCCATTTTGGAACAGGGCTGTGAAAGAAGGGGACCCAGAAGCCTCCACTAATTTAATGAGTTCTATAGATAGCAGAAGACTTGAAGGACTGGGGGTGTAAAATAAGTTTTGCCTAAATGGTTTGATGTTAGTAGGTTTTTTTTCCTTTTTTTTTTTCTCGGCAGAGAATCAAGCAAAAGAAAAGGAGTCTGATTTGTCTGACACTCTTAGCCCGAGTAAGGAAAAGAGCAGCGACGACACCACAGGTAAGTGTTGGTGTGGTGTGTGCAAGTGTGTTTCTTCATGAAGGGTCATCTCCAGCTAGTTCATTTGAACTCTTTAAAAAAGAACATGTGTGTACATATTGCTTGGTAGTTGTTCTCGGTCATTTGTTTTAGTATTGGTAGGTTGGCTGCTGTCGGTGTGGATGCCGTTATTAATAATCATTTTCTTCCACAGACGCCCAAATGGATGACCAAGATCTAAACGAACCTCTTGCTAAAGTCTCTCTGCTAAAAGGTAGTTTGAATTTTTTCCCTAGCATTTTAAAATGTGGCTTTAGATGATTCATTTTACAAACAAAATATGCGAAGTTTTTGAATTAGTTTTTAAATATTTGTCAAAATGTTACAGTAAGGTTAGGCAAAATAGTGAGGGCTGTGACTGGGAACTGCATCTCAGCTCCATGTCTAAAATTAAATATTTAGTTGTCAAATGATGTGCTTGGGAAACAACAAGGAGGTGTAGTCTGCTTCCAGTGAAAACAGCGAGAAGAGAAAGGCAGTTCAGATGCTCTGCTCCCTCTCAAGCGCTCGCTGGGGCTCACGCTCTGCTCTTTGTAGGAATCCCAAACTTTTGAGGCTTCTGTCCCACCGAGCCTCGGGTCTTCAGACTCTGTTAGTAGAGGCTAAAACCATGTCTCAGGCCCACCTTCTCCCCCACCCCAGACAACAACAACAACAATAACAATAACCACAACTACCCACCTCTTTGGGCTCTCAAAGCATCTCCGCCTTCCCCACCCTAATCAATGCATCTGAGCCCCCCCTCCCCCGCTTGTTTCTTTTGTGGAGGGTTCACTGTAGTTCTCTAATGTCTGCTGTATATTGTGTGTTTGTCCTAGAATTAATTGGAAAATGCATATAAAGGGTTTTGGATGGATTGTTTGAATGTTATTTTTAGATAGTATATTAGAAAATTACTTTTTGTTTACTTAAAAGTATTGCTGTATTACGTATTACCCATAAGTTCCTACTTATATATTTTGGAGAAAGAACTTGAGAGCACTTGTCATTCATTAGTTGGTCTCTTTCCATTATGGTCTCACTTACGACTTTTTCTTTTATTTTACCAAAGGCAGAATAAAAATACCTCTTAGTACCTGGAGAGCCAGTGGGAGCTAAAGCGTGACTAAGAATGTGCCATTCATTGGTGGACCTAAGGCATAGGCAGCCTGAGATGCAAGAGTAAAGAAAAGGAAAAAGATGTCGAAGAGTGAGTGAGGAAGGGGAAGTGAAGGAAGACCACTGAGAGTGGGACTGATAGAGGGAGACCCTGCTTAATTACCTCGGGGGGAAGCCCTGGAGCAGTTTCCTCCTACCTGTTTTAAGCCAAGGTTAAATCCAGGGGAGAGGAAAAGGAAAGCCTTACCCTTGTTTAGAGCTGTCACCCTTTGCTGATGAAATACTGCCTTTGTCAGCAGTTAGGGAAGTCTTTTGTAGCTTGATTTTTCACGATACTTTTTTGAGTTAGTCACTGACTGGTTGTAAAGAAAAACGGCAAAATTAGAAGCAGGTGTATGCCAGAAAATGATCGATATAACTGATCCATGGTAGTGGGGTTTTGTTCTTGTTTTTCTTAATCCGCTGTTTTTCATTTTTGTTAAGCTATATAAATTGTAGGAAATTATGTATTTGCTTTTTTTTTTTAATCAGGGGCACTTGTTAAATTTTGGACATCTAGAAGATTGATTATACTTTGTAGCTTGTTTTTGTAATTAGCTTCAATAGCTGACTGCATTTTTCTCTTAAGGTAAAATTCTAATTAATTAGGTCAAAATACTAGTTTTAAGAGATCGTAGATATAGAAAGGAGTTATATTGATATGGTTTCTTTTGTGCCTTCCTCAATGGACTCATATCTAGTTTTCTTCTTTTTTTAAGAGCACCCACATGTTTTATTTTATTGCTATGATTTTAATGATTAAAAAAGAAATTTTAAAGTTAATGAGTATGTACTCCCAGGTTGGAATAAAATACTTGTGGCAATCATTTTTTCCAAATTTGGGACCATTTTCACTTCAATGAGACCTGTGAAAAAGGAAAAAGAAAAATTGAAATATAACCATAAATTTTGTCCTGAGAGGATAAATTTTGAATCACTCATGTGTCCTCAGCTCATTGGATTCAGTGCTTGAATTCAATGCCTTCCTCATAGAGCTTCATTACAGTATCCATGGTTTGTTAAAACTGTCTATAAATAGTAGCTGTTAGGTTATTTTGGTGGGGAAAATGTAGATGTTTGTGATAGCAATTGGCCTGTTGGGGCAGCTTTTGTGAGTCCTAATTTTAGCTGCTTCTCCACTAGGCACTTTAAACAAAAATGATAGTACATCTCTATCTACCTTTCTCATCTAGGGGGTCTTTCTCCTGTACCCCCGACCCCTGACCATACTGCTTGCTCTTCTCAGTAACATCTCTACCTTTGAGGCTCATTCCAACTGTTTATATTACATGGTCTACCTCTCTGTTGCAGGCATCTGCCAGTCTCTGGATCATCTCCCCTCTTGTATTTTCCCTCTTCTTAATATTTCTTATATCATTTCCCCTTTTCTTATATTTCCTTTTCTGTTTTCAGTTATTTTATTTTATTCAAATACTTACTGTTGTCTTATATAATCATTGATTTCTGTTTGTTCGGTTCTCATTTTCAAGGAATTCATTACCTAAGTAAAGTTTTCTACTTTCTCTTCTAAACTGCTTATTCTCCTTCCAATTCTTTCCTCCAGAGCTTTTATTCTACTTTTTACCCCTTAAAATCTTTGTGGTTCAGAGCACGGAATCCTCAGGGCCCTTACATCTCAGGACACAGTGCCAGAGACCTTGGAGGGCTCAAGTGCTGGGACCATTCTGACCACTACCACACCAGACTGGTTGCTGCCATCCCTCTGGGCTTCCAAAGTCCCCCCTAGGGGTGGGAGGAGTAGGCTTTCTGGCCTCGTGGGACTTTCCCGGTGCCAGGGGCCTCTCTTCTTGCAGCCTTTGGATACTGGGTCCTGTAGTCTACATAGATCTCTGGTCTCTTTGGAAAGTTCCATCTTGTTTCCCTTCACCAGTGTTTCCTTTGCTGTTGCCCACAAGTTTCTGACTGACTCCTGTCACAATACTAAGTTGGAAGAAATCCCTGACTATAGCTCCTCACTGAATTTTTTTGATCATTATTCAGTCTAATGCAGATTTCCAGTTTTTTGCTGGCATTAGTGGGAACTGAACAGTGCATATCTGCGTGTTCTCACAGAACTGAGTACGTGGCTCACAGTATTCTTTGGGACTCCTCCACATGTATGCGTTAATATCCTTGAGATCATCCCGATTTCCAGGTGATCTTGAACATCTCCACTCTGCGTCAGCCTCTCACAGGGGTCTCGTGGTGACTCATAGCTTTGCAGCCACCATGAACTCTGGACTCGCTCTTTCATGTTAGAGCCTCCAATCCTTGCACAAATATTTACTGAACAGCGGCTATGGATGCTGCCCAGTGCTGGACGCTCACTCTGTGTTCTATCTCTTCATCACGTCCTCTCGCACCTCTAACCCTGTCTCTTCTGACTTTTCTTGCTTCATTTCATGGTCTTCCTTTGTGATTGTTCAGTGCAGCTATGCACTGTCCTTCAACCTTGAAATGCCTCAGCCCCTTTACTCATCACTAATTGTCTTGCCAAACCCCAGACCTGGCCTCTTGCCCCTTCTTTGCTTCTTCTCTAGTGAAGCCAGACACTGCTTGGGAAAGTCCCATCACCAGATCTGCAACATCATTATTGTGGGCACGACCTCTAGCTGTGCCTGCAGGTCACAGCCTTTTAATAGTGTACATTTGGGTCTGTGCCATAAGTTTCAGGAAGGATGATCTAGTTTGCTGGCCTCTCTTCATGTGTCTCAAGTGTCATTTCTACTGTTAGATTAAAAGACAGAAAATGGCATCTCTGTGTGAGCTTCTAACCAGGGTCTTTGATTCTCACTTTAAAAGGTGGGATGAGGCTAAAAAGGCCTAGAATATCTAACTTGTTACATTCACGGAGAGATGAATCAGTTTTTCTCTTGTTATAATTTCTTATTTTTAAAAGTGTAATCTCAATTACATGAATTGTTGACATTATGTTGTGTGTACAGTAGCCTAAAAAATGATTCTTAGTTCTTATCTTGACTGAATATAGAATGCCTTGGGAAATGCACCTTGACTATATTCATATTTATTTTGACTATATTTAGAATATTATTTTTAATTTTCTCCTGTAGATGCATATAAAATAGAGTTTTGCAAGGCAGAATTCCTAGCACAGTGCCCTATACATGATAGCTGCTTAAAAAATGTTTGTTGTTGGATTGAACTGACCGCAACTAACTTAGCTCTTTATATAACTTAAAACATAACAAATAATTTCTTGTGAGTGTTCAGGTATAGAGTTTGGTCTTCTTGTAGGCCTTTTTACTTTTTGTTGTTGTTGTTCAGTCTTTTTTCAGTTGTGTCCAACTATTTGTAACCCCATTTGGGGTTTTCTTGGCAAGGATACTGGAGCACTTTGCCATTTTCTTCTCTAGCTCCTTTTACAGGTGAGGAAATTGAGGCACAGAAGGTTAAGTTAAGGGTCACACAGCTAGTTAACTGTCTTAGGCCAGATTTGAACTCGTGAAAATGAGTCTTCCCGACACAAAGCCCAGCACTCTATCTACCTTGTTGCCTTTTTACCTTTAAATAGGAGTCCAGCTGACCTCTAGTTACAAACTGTAAGCAACTCAAGCTCTGTTCAGCCACCTCCTAAATATTTGCCTTTGATCTTATTATGAATGAGTCAGTGACAGCATGATTGCTGTAGTTGATCATCAGTACTAGAAGAACAGAATCCATATTTATGGACATGTGCATAAAAATCAAATGGATTTGGTCTGCTCCCTAAGAGCTACTTTTACTGTTAATTTTATCTTTAATTTGACTTTCAAATGCAGGACTCAAGAGAAGCTTGGAAAGGTAAACAGGAAAGAGAAAGCATAAGAGACTTATTAAAGTTGAACTGTTTACACTTCTACATGGAAAGATGATGTTTATAACTCATGAGACCTTTCTCAGTATTAGGCTAATTGGAGGGAATATATATGGAGAGAGAGACAGAGGGCACAGGGTGAATTGAATATGAGGGGATGATATCTAAAAAATAAAATTAAGGGTGAGAGAGGATTGTACAGGGAGAAGGAGAAAGGGAGAAATAGAATGGGGTAAATTATCTCACATAAAAGAGGTAAGAAAAAGTTTTACAGTGGAGGGGAAGAGGAAGGAGGGGAGAGGGAATGAGTGAATCTTACTCTCATTGGATTTGGCTTAAGTGGCGATACCGGACACATTCAATTGGGTGTGGAAATCTGTCTTACCCTACAGGAAAATGGGGGGGAAGGGAATAAGACAGAGGGGGATGGTAGAAGGGAGGGCAGATTGGGGGAGGGGGTAATCAGAAGCAAACACTTTTGAGGAGGGACAGGGTCAAAGGAGAGAATAGAATAAGTGGGGGTGGGGGTGGGATAGGATGAAGGGAAATAGAGTTAGTTTTTCACAACATGGCTATTATGGAGTGTTATCCATGACTACACATGTATAACCTGTATCGAGTTGCTTCTCAGTGAGGATGGGTGGGGAGGGAGGGAGAGAATTTAGAACTCAAGGTTTTAAAAATGAATGTTAAAAATTGTTTTTACATGCAACTGGGAAATAAGATATACAGGCAGTGGGGTATAGAAATTGATCCTGCCCTACAGGAAAATAAAAGGGGAAGGGGATAAGAGAGGAGTGGGGTGAGATAGAAGGGAGAACAGATTAGGGGAAGGGGTATTCAGAATGCATGCCATTGGAGTGGGGGGAGGGGAGAGGTAGGGAGAAAATTTGGAACTCAAAATCTTGTGGAAGTGAATGTTGAAAACTAAAAATAAATTAATTAATTAAAAAAATTATCTTTAAGCAGCCTTTGGTCAAAGTATTTGCCTTGCCCTTTCAGTGCCAGACCTGGGGTCCTGTGACCCTGTGTGGTGGGAGTGGAGCTAGGCCAGAGGACACTAATGAGCCATTTTCCCACATCAGTATCTCAAGCATGATGAGTGCTTGTCCAAGCCTAGTAGTGCGCACAAATGGGCTCATTAGCAAATGGTGATTTTGATCCTTGTTATTCTAAGTAAAGGATCTGCCAACATTTCTTGGTTTATATATGGTCATTATATTGATTACATTCATTAAATCATTATGTAAATATTTTGGTTCTGAGAATTCCATTTTGTGTGTGTCTTAGTTATAAGAATGTCTTTGGGCTTATAGTATTTGATAAATATCATTTGATAATTTGTTCCGAATAAAATTCTAACATGTTTTAGTAAGTCTTCACTTCAGTGATTTAAGTGAAGTGAAGAACAGCATGTATTTCCCCAGCTCATTCTAATTCGAGTTTGCAAATACTTTGGATGAAATCTTGACTTGACATAAGTATGATACAATAAAAACCTCTTGTTGTTGGCCTAAAAGTAAAGTGTTAGTCTTGTCCCCAATGTCCCCAGTATTAGAGTGAAGGGCTTATTCTGTATGGGCACCGTGCTTTGAGAAAAGAGAATCTTTTGTGGTATTATAATGGAAAATATATAATGACCAGTTAGTGGTAATTACTCACTGTAGGCGCCTTTTAATTTACAGAAGGATTTATGATAGATCCCTTAGCATGCTCCTCTAGTATTTTTAAAAATAATTTAATTTATAAAAACTTGGTGTTATCCCTTTTGAAGAACACATCCATTTTGTACTAATTACAGTCAGATGTTTTGAGTTCCTCCTGTGTGCTCTACATTGTACCAGGCATTATGGGACATTTTGAAGACTATATGGTCTTCACCTTCAAAGAAGTTCACTGTTGGGTAGAGCTGAACAGTGAACTCCCTTCTTAAACTCCTCCGGACAGATTTAGAAAATGCTCTAGACTGAATTCTGATGGGGAAATCCCAAGAAAAAGTCGCAGTGAATCATTTTTCCAGCTCAGGTGGGCACAGAGACAGAAGGAGGAGTCTGAGCACCAGGGATGACTGTGGCCAGGAATGGAAATGCCCCCAACATTGTGGTACCGAAGGCGAGGCTGTGCACCAGGCAGGAGGAGTTTCTGGACTCACACACGGCACCACAGGGTTCAAGAATAGGTGCCAGTTGGCAGCCTTGTTGTTCACTATCCAGTCTAGTTTACGTATGCAGGATGGATTAAGGGAGGAAACTGCACCAAGGGTGGGATTCTGGGCTACGGAGTGAAAAGTGGGACTTTCCAAAACATGTTAGAAGCCAGAAGAGAAGTGTGAGTGTGTAGGAGTCATGAACTTTGGGAGGCTGAGCTTCAGCACGAGATTTTATTTGTTATAAAATGTGCTATTGATTAGACATATAATTTGTCTGGGCCTTGATGTCCTCCGCTGTGACACCATTGACACTCTGTGGCTTTCTGAAAGCATCAATAGGAGGGAAGACTTGAACACCAATATTAGTTGTACTTCATCACCAGTGATGTGTTTTGTCAGCTTTCAAGTCCTATTGGTGCTATTTGTGATGAAAGTGATGTGACAGATATGATTTTGAAGTCTCATAGCCGTCCTGTACTGGCAGCCGTTCATTCTTCTCCTTTTCTTTAGGAGTTCTTTGCTGGTTCAGCCTTCCTCTTTTAGAGGTAGACTTAGACTTAGTAAATCATTGAGTGGGAGAGGGAAGAGTAAAAGATGAACCACAAAGTTTCTGGCAACAGAGACGAGATATATGACGTTACTTTGGACAGAAATAGGGAGTCACTGGGTTTGGAGAAAGGTTGTTTGAAATGTAGGCATCTATACGTATTCATTTCTAAGTTGGCTTAGGTTTGGTGTTTGTAAGCCTTTACTCTTAACTGCTCCTTTGTGGCATAGATGAGGGTCCAGGTTCTTGCCTGACAAGCCCTGGCAGGGCCTGATATCTGAGAGAGGCAGGCTTGTCAATAGCCTGGCCAGGGCCTTTCATGGAGAACTTTTCTGGAGCGTTGGAGGGGCTTGCAGCTACATCAGTGGGAAAAATGTCTCTGCTGATGATCAACACTACGTTCCAGTATTGAGGAGGTTGGTAAGGGAGCTGATCACTGGCTGTGTGAGCAGGGCATGTGTTCTCTGACTTCCATATCTCATGTAGTACAGGAAAGCTGTGGCAGAAAGACAGCTTCCAGCTCCTTGTATTGTGATGGTCAGTCGGAAGAAACACCAACACGCACAGCAAATGTTGTGACTTGAAACAACTTGTGAGTGGGACGATTTCCAGAGTCCCTCGTCGATCTTTGGTGTCCACGTCGGTTGTGAAGTGTTCCTGTCATGCTTCTGTGCTGCTCTGCTACAGATCTTGTTCCTGTGTGTTTTTGATTCTGAGAATCGTAGATTTAAAACTCTTAGGAACCTTGCAGGTCATCGGACCCCCAAGGCCTTGTGTAACCGGGAAGTGCAGATAGTCCTTGTAGGAATCATGGAGAACCATCCGACATTCCCTTTTGGCTTTTGCTCGTTACTTAGTACGTTGTGCCAAGTAGCCGGCATCTCCTCTGACTGCTTTTTTTGATTTCAAATTTTAAATGATGACTACTCTGCCACTCACCTGACTGAGTAGTTAAGTAAAAAAGAAATCCATTTTGATGTTAACTGCGTGTACTCAGAAAGCCCTGAATTCCAAGTTCTGTCTCCAACTCAACTTTGCTGTGTGACCCTGGACGAGTCTCCTGACCTCCTAGTGCTCTGGGCAGCCTTCCCAGACTGCATTGCAGGGAGGTGCCGCCCTGCACCGGCAGAAGGATTTCCTCATCTCGGTGACATTGCAGGTCTTGTCCCGGCCCCTTCGGCCGACACTCGTCTCTGCAGCTTCCACCCAGGATCTTGGGCTTTCAGACTTGGAGGACCATCGTTCCAGCCCTCTTGTCTTCCAGGGAGGAAGGGCCGAGCCAGGATTTGAACTAGGCCGTTCGGGTCCAGGACTTCATTCACTCCACTCTGGCGTCTCCCTAGCAGTCACTGGTTGTTCGCTTTTTTTATTTTTCCTCCTCTCTTAGTAGTTCCACCCAGAATGGTTAGGAGGTAAAAACATTTTAGAGTTTGCAGATAAAACCATTTCGTGACTCCTCGAAACTCTCTAAAACATATTACCTCGTTTAAGAAATCCATTCAGACAGCTGGGTAGCTCAGTGGATTGAGTACTGGACCTGAAGAAATTAGGACAGATCTGAGTTCAAATCCAGCCTTAGACATTGACTACCTGTGTGACTCTGGCAAGTCACTTAAATTGTTATTATTGTTGTTGTTGTTGTTATTAATTTTTTTTCCTTTCGTCTGACTTTTGCCACTATCATATAAACACATTCATTATTTTCTGCTGTAATATAGTGATCTTTTCAGGGGTTTCTGAAATATCTAAGACTGCTTAGCCCTCTTTCTCTTTTACACGGCTGCTTCTCCACTGCCCGTTGGGCCTGCTTCCCACCTCTGCTGCCATTTCTGCCAGCCACCATGTCCTCACAGGCATTTTCCCCCCCCCCCCCCTTTTTTAAACCAATCACATTTCATTGTCTAGGATCTTCTGCCCTTGCTGCTCTTTTTGGGGTTCCGAGTGCTAGACATATAATAGCCAGATAATGAAGATGTTACTCTATTTTGTTGCTGTGCTATGCTAAGATATACCTTACTGGATCAACAAGAACGCACTGATAATTTACTTTTAACTTACAATTAACTCATTGTGAAGGCGTACTCCAGCTAACTCTGCACACCTAACAGGAAAGAGGCTGCTTCTCATTAGGAGTAGAGGTGAATGTGTTGTGCTAACTTTGGCTTTAAACCCCATGTTTTTATCAGATGAATTGCAGGGGGCCCAGTCTGAAACTGAGACAAAGCAAGACATTCAGCATCTTCACAAGGAGTTGATTGAAGCTCAAGAGCTAGCTAGAGGGAGTAAACAAAAATGCTCTGAACTTCAAGGTGAGACGGAGATCGATTTGCCTCTGCAGTGGTCGCGTTAACCATGAGATGAGGAAAGAAGAAGAAAGATAGTAGAAAGCCTTCTGTTTTCAGCCAGTTAAGACTTGGTCTGATGACCTGCTGTAAGTTGCTCTAGCCGGCCTTCTCGGCCATGTCTGGGAGAGGCAGTGAGTGCTGCCTCTCATTCCGTATGCCTAAGCAAGCAGAACTCAAGGTCTTCAACTGGCGGTGTCCATGGCCCCTCTTCTTTTCACGTATTCCCATCATTAACTTTGCCTTCCTGCCATTGATTAGCACTTCATAGAAGATTATAGAGAGATATTGAGTAGGCCATGGACACTGAACCTCCATGTCAACCTTTCAGGCTAGACTAAAATGTATTGCTAAAGGGGAACAAGGAAATTCCCATCATTGCTGCCTTCTCTTTCATTAATTACTCATGTTTCTAGAGCTGTATTCTTCCGAATGCCCCCAAAAAGTGTTAGATTTGTACATCACTGTAAAATTTCTTATAAGGGACCATCCATATTTTTAATGGGCAAATCATAAATGAATGTTGAGCAGGCAAGTCACTTGCCTTACTGTATGTCTTTTAAATGTCTACATGTCACTTGCTGTGTGCCCAGCACTGGATAGATATATAAATGCATATCTTTATTGTCAGTTTTCTGAACTTAGCTCTTTCATTTATGAGAACAAAGAACAATTCTTTTATATCCATTATAAACAACACACATCTTTGAAACATATATCTTAATAAACTTTAGTGTTTACTGAATCAGTCTGGGTTTTCCTGGCCATCACATTCATACCAGTTCAACAGCGCAGAGGACTGGGTTCTGAAAAACCATAACACAAAGGAACACGAATGAGTACCCAAGAAGAGAGATGCAGACAGAGTCATGGGTGAGGAAAGACAGATCATTGCAGATGAGAGGATCAGGGATGGGCTTTATGTCAGGAAGGAGCATTGGCGCTGGTCATGACTACTTTGTTCCTGTGCTACTAAAATATTTAAACTGCTTGTCTAACAATTGAGATTGGTTACTTAACTTTGGTTTCCCACAGTCAACTTTTGAAAGGCATTTCACTTAGAAATGTTCAGCTGGTCAACTCCAAGACTGTGTTTGTCATTTAATATGTTAAACTAGGTATACTTTTGCTTTCATTTTTAGCTCTTTTGGAAGAAGAAAGAAAAGCCTATCGAACACAAGTTGAGGAGTCTGCAAAGCAAATACAGGTTCTTCAAGGTATGAAACAATGTATTTGAAGGTGAAGGGCGGTGACAACTGATCGCCATCTCTTACAGCCTTCTCTTCTGCTCTTAGTCTAACTCTGACTGTAGAGGAATGATGTGTGAATTTTATCTCAAAAGGTGAAAAAGACTTCACTTAAGTATTACCAGTGTCCCTTTCATTATTTTTGGAGGGAGGTGGGATATGAGAAGATACTTGAATTTTTTTGGTTTGTTTTGTTAGGTGAGTATTTTTGCATGGTCACTCACTGAATAGGTACTATCGTATTATTGGGAACCTTAAGGGCCAAACTTCACAGGGAATCTCTTCTGTGAATGATATTATCTGTAATGGTTCAGGATATTGTCTACAATCATGGTGAACAGCTTTGTTTTATGCCTCATTGGGTATTTGCAGTTAGAAAAGCGCTGATCAAACCGGATGAATGAAAAACATATACTGTTGAATGGGCTTTTCATCAAGTTATTCAGTATATGAATCTTGTGAAGACACGGTAGTTGGATAGTGATCTGGGCCCAGAATTGAATAGGAAGAAGAAAGAGAGTAGGCTAGCTTGTTTAGTAAATATCACAGTGTTTTTGTTGATCCTGAGCCACTACTCCTTAACAGAAATAAAAAAACCTATTTTTTATCGTTAATATTTTTCTCTTAGTGTTATGTAGCTGTAAATCATGAAACATCACAGTCTTCATGCTGTCAGGGTTATGGGTGACCCAGAGGGCAGTGGCATGTGATAGACTTTAATAGGCATCAAGATATATGACAATTGATGATTTCAGCATAAAAAGTGAATTAAAAGACAACAAAATACAGGAACAGGAAATAGAGCACAGAACCAAAGATAACAGGACAGGTGAGGGACTTCCCCTGATGCCCCATCTAGGATAAAAAGTGTAAAGGAAGAACTCCAGCATGTTAGATCTTATAGGAATACTGATGGAAGGAAACAGACAAATCACACACAGTGAGAAACTACAGATAAGTTGCCATTGATAACATTGGAAAGCAGTCCTTATCGTCGCGACACCACTGAGCCCTTGAGGTTATGAAATGAGAAGAGAGGTTATCTGGATTAGATACTGGGGCATTGAATAGTCATGTGGGGGAGCATAAGATTTTTCTGCCAGAAGAGTCAGAATTCAAAAATATCTTGACAAGCTAGAACAGTAGACTAAAGCTAAGAAGAAGAAATTGAACAGGGATCAGTATAAAGCTTTAAACTTTAGTTCACAAAAGCCACTTCAGAAGTACAAGTTGGGGGTGGTGGTGGTGGAATGGATACGGCTAATCAGCAGTTCAGCACATCATTAGTAGTAGTTAGAGAAATAAACATAGAAACAAAAAAGTTCCTGAGCCCAAAGGGCTTACATTTTTCTTGGAAATACAGAGAGGTGCCACACATTGTAATTGAGTAAAGTAAAGGGTGATTATAAGAGGAGAGGGAGCACTAGCCATTGAGTTTCTAGAAAGGGTTCATATAGGAGGTGGTGCCCAAGCTAAGCATGGAATGCCAGAAATGGATTCTTGATCACAGAAATGTGGAAGTTCTATTCCAAGCACAGAATATGACATGTACAAATTCATGGGTGGAGAGACTGAAAAGTCATCTTCAAGGAAGGGCTTGTATAGGACGTAGGACATATCAGATAGAAATGCAGGAAAGGTTGGAGCACAAATCTGGCGAGAGGTCAGTCCAAATCAGGTGGAAGAATTTGTGGTTTAATTTAGAGAGGAAGAGTCACACTGAAGTTTTCTGATCAGGGGTCACTTAATCAGCTTTGTGGAAGATAGATAGGAGAGAGCAAAAGAAACTAATTAGGAAACTAGCCCTATGCCAGGTAATGACAGTGGGAGTGGAGGGAGTTTGGCATCTGATGGATAGGGGAAGGTAAGGGGAGAGAAATCACGGTGTACTTTCAGGTTCTGAACCTCTGTGACTTAAGAGATGAGAATATGTTTTAAAAAAAGTCAGGTAGTTTTGAGGAAGGAAGGATTTGAGAACAAAGATGATAAATTCATATCACATTTGGGCAAGTTAAGTTTAATTAGCCACACAGTATCCAGCAAGCAAAATTGCAAATATGGGATTTGGAGTCGATGAGAAATATTAGGGCTAGACTATGGATTCGGGAGCCAGGTAAGTAGAAATAATATGAGATCATCAAGAAAGGAGAGGTTTAGAGAAGAGAATCCCAGACAACTTCGCATGATGTCCAAGTTTAGGGAATTAGAGACGGATGATGATTCACAGCAAAGGAGTCCAAAAAAGGAGCGTGAAGACAGATATAGATGAGAATCAAATATAGGTCTTGGAATCAAAATTACTGTCAAAAGCTGTAAGAACATCAAAGATAACGAAGAGTAAGCAAAGGCCGTGGGTCATAACAGCTATTGTGTCGTTGGTAATGTTTGAGAGCAATTTAATGCAGGGGTTCTTAGCCTGGGGTCGTGAACATTTTTAAAAAAATATTTTGACAACCTTTGGTTTAATTGGAGAAGTGATTTCAAAATATAGATGACAAGAAGTTGAGAAACAAATTGGCAGACAGGACATAGAGGCAGGAAGTGTAAACCCTTTCTAGGGGTTTGGCTTTGAAAGGAAAGATGTAGTATAGTAGTTTAAGGAGAGGCAACATGTTGTAGTGGAAAGTTATGCTGGATTTGGAGACTGAGGATTTGGGTTTAAATGTCAGTTCTGTTGCTTAATATCTGTATGGTTTTGGACAAATCATTTATTACTTTTCTTAAAGGTAGAGGGGTGTGTGTGTGTGTGTGTGTGTGTGTGTGTGTGTGTGAATGACTGATTAAAAAAGAGTCTTGAGTATGTTTGTAAGTTGCCAAAATGATCCCAGAAGATACGGAAATTGAAGATCTGAGGGAGAAAGAGAATGAATGAATGAAAATCATTAATTATGTGCCAGGGACTGTACTAAATACTAAGTCCTAAGTTAAAGGTAGGAAGAGTGGGGTACAAGGGCAAAATTTAGGCAAATCTGTTTTAAAAAGAAAAGTGACATAGTCACTGCTTTCTAGGGAGAGACTGCACGTAGAGAAGGTTTCAGTTGCATGACAGATGGAAAGAAAGAACCAGTGGGTTTTTAAGGGTACAACGGCAGGACAACAGTATTGCATCCCCTGTAGTGTCATTTCCATCTATAAAGCCATACATGCTTGTTTCTGACTTGAACCATTTGACAAACTTTGGTGACGAGAACTTTCTTCTCTGGGTCTCCATTAGCTGTGGTGCATGTCCTAGGTGCGGTACCTACAGGGTTAGTCCCCCGGCTACATGGACGAGTGGCATGAGTGGCCGTACTGTTTTTAGTGCTCTTGGATGATTGGTCTCGTGCAGCCTCCCAGGGAATCTGAGGAGAGGTGGTAGCCACCATTAAGCCTCCCTTTCGTCTCTCTTGGGATTTTGCTACGCTGTCTTTTGCCTGCCCAAATTGAAGAGGATTAATGTTTCCCATCTTTACTTCTTTGATTCCCTGCTATTGATGATCTTGTTCATTTGAGCTTATCCGTCATCAGAAGTTTGAGTAACCAAAGCTTCATATAGGACTGTGGTGTTTTCTGGGGCAGGATGGAATCTTCCCCTGCCCTTCTCCTTTTTAAAAACAATAGCTTTGGAATCAGCATGATCGTGGAAGACTAAGTGCCTTTCTGCAGTATCTCTTGGTCTCTTAGTCAGAGAGAAAATACTGAGCTAGGTAGACTGTGAAATCTGCCCCAATCTGGCTGAACTTATCTTCTGAATTTCATTACTGTAGCCTAACAAAATAATAGATGATATCCTTTTCTAGCCCAGTTGCAGAGGTTGCATACTGATATGGAGAACCTTCGGGAAGAGAAGGAAAGTGAAATCACGAGCACGAAGCACGATTTGCTCAGTGCCCAAGATGAAATTCTGCTGCTCCAGCAAGTAGCGGAAAAGGCTGCTTCTGAGCGGGACGTTGACTTCGCCTCCCTGCAAGTCGAGCTTCAGAAGGTTCGGGAGGAGCTGGAGCGGTGGCGGAAGGCAGCCTCAGAGTACGAGAAGGAAATTGTCAGTCTGCAGGCCAGTTTTCAGCTCCGGTGTCAGCAGTGTGAAGACCAGCAGAAAGAGGAATCCTCCAGGTTGCAAGGTCAGTCAGCGTGGTGGCCGTCAGGATGGAAGACAGTGAAGGCAGGAGCGGCCTTTCCGCTATTCAGGGACCATTTTTTCCCCTGTAATATCTAACCCAGTTTTTTAAGATAAGTCATTCTGGTTGTACACCTTTTTTTTTTCTTTTTTTCCAACTTTTGGTGTTTTATGCTCCATGATTCCTTTTCTTCGTTGTAGTTGTAGCATAATACTGTGTGCTTCTGGCTCTGCTTCCTTGTATTGTGACTCATTCTTTATGGCTGCATGGAGTGTGTCTTTTTCTGAATCTAGAAGCATCAGATGTATGAGTGTTTTCAGTCTGAGCTTTCAGGAAGTGACCCACAGTGGATTCTTTCTACTTCAACTTTGTTCTCGGGTTCTCACTCCTGGGCAGTTTTCTTTTATAATTATGTGATTTATTCAAGATTTATGATATATTATGGTCATAAAATATTACGTTCTTTTATTAGGTGTTTAGCTATACTTCCTAAAGAGGTCAGAAACAGAGGGGAAGGATCAGTGTGTACAAAAATGCTTATATCAGCACTTCTTAGTTTAGAAAAATCACAACCAAAAGTAAGACAGTTTTGTTGCTGTTGTATCAAACATAATATACTCACAAAGACTATCCATGATAGAAGTTCACACTGTTTCATCTAGTCTGCTTTTCTCTAATTTGTAGATTGAGTCCATGTTTGTTGATATTTAAGTTCATAATATAGAAAAAATATTTTAAAAATATTAGATGACAATGAGATTAACAAAACTGAAAGAAAAATATAAATAAAACTAAGGGTCATATTTTAAACAATGAAACAAATAGCCCATTAGCTAAGTTGATTTAACAAAAGAAAAGTGAAAAAATGTTACCCTTATCAAAAAATGAAAAAAATTTTTAAAAAACCCGAGCAAATGAAGAAGTAAAGGGGATTATTAGAAACTAATTTGTACAGCTCTATGCCAGTAAGACCAAGAATTTTAAAAAATGATGGATGAATATTGACAAAAATATTAAATGCTCATATTAACAGAACAAGAAATGTGTTTAAATATATTTGAATATACAAGTCTATCAACCATTCAAAGAATAATCCCTTCCCATGTTGCATAAAGTGTTGAGCAAACCCCCCCTAAAAAAAAGGATCCTTGCCAAATTTCTTCTATGATATCAATATGCCTTGATACAAGGAAAACCAAAACAAAAAAACTTTAGACCAATATTCCTAACAAATATTAATGCAAAAATTTTAAACAAAATATAAGCAAAGAAGCTATAGCAACACAGTAAAAAGGCCATATACTATGACCAGGTTGGATTTATACCAGGAATACAATGTTGGTTCAATATTAGGAAAACTATAAACATAAAAATTCACATTTATAATGAGAATAGCAAAAAGTATGTGATTATACTAAGACGTGTTAAAAGCTTTTTCTTTGTATTTCTTTGTAATACAACATCTTTTTTTATAATTAGTTAATTTTATTTATTTTTAGTTTTCAACATTCACTTCCACAAGATTTTGAGTTCCAGATTTTCTCCCCGTCTCTCCCCTTCCCCCACTCCAAAATGGCATGCATTCTGAATGCCCCTTCCCCTAATCTGCCCTCCTTTCTATTACCCCCCCTTTTCTTATCCCCTTCCCCTTCTATTACAACATCTATTTTTATTAAAGACACTAGAAAACATAGGAATAAATAAACCTTACCTAAATATAAGTGGTATCTATCAAAATCAAGATCCAGTGTTATGTGTTGCAACAATGAATGAGACGCCTTTCCAGTAAGATCAAGTGTAAAGTAAGGATGTCCATTATCAGCACTACTGTTTGATATAGTGCTGGAAATGCTAGCTATAGCACAAAGAGAAGAAAAACAAATTGAAGGAATAAGCATACGCAAAGTTATAATTTTTTGCATATGATAAAATGATTTACTAAGAGAATGAACCTTGACTATCTAACTAAAAATTAATTAAAATAATAACTTTGCCACTGTTGCAGGATAGGCAATAAGTCATCAGCATTTTGGTTTATTACCAATGAAACCGAGCAGGAAATGATAGAAAAATTCCCTTTAAAATAACTGTATTATGTATAAAATACTTAGGAGTCTGCCTTCCAAGATATACTACAACTACAAAATCTTTTAAAGACAGAACTAAATTATTGGAGAAATAATAATTGCTCAGGAGTTAGGCTGAGCCAATATAATTAAAATGGCAATACTATATACATTAATTTACTTGCTCAGTGCCATACCAATCAAATTACTAAAGAATTTACCTTGTAGAGCTAGAAAAAATCAAAAGGTTGACTGTGTCAAAGGAGATTTTTTTAAGAAGTGGGATGGAAAGAATTTTATCAGTGGGATAAACTAGATATACAACAAACAGTAATCCATAAACCCAAAGACCCAGTTATTATGATTAGAATTCATCATTTGACAAAATGACCTGGAAAATTAGAAAACATTTTGGCAGAAACTAGGTATCGACCAACATCTCATACCACACATACCAAGAAACATTCCAAATAGATGAATAACTTAGATGTAAAACGTCACATTATAAAGAAATTAGAGGAGCAAGAAAGACATCCTTTCAGAACTATGAGTAAGGGAAGACTTTGTGACTGAACAAGGATTTCAGAGGACGTCAGAGGACAAAATGGACATTTTTAATTATGTGAAATTTAAGGGTTTGCGTAAATAAAGCCAATACACTTAAAATGGGAAACAGTTAATTGGGAGGATTTCATAGCAAATATCTCTGATAATGGCTTCATTTCTAACATGTATAAGGAACTGATTCAAATTTATAAGAATAAGGGCCTCCTTCAATAAGTGGTCAAAGAATATGAACAGGCACTATGCAAAGGAGAAAATCTAAAGTATTAATAGCCATATGAAGAAACGCATCAATTCACTAATAATTAGAGTAATACAAATTAAAGCAACTCTGAGGTTCTCTCTCACATCTCTTAGATTGGCAAAACTGACCAAAAAGGAAAGTTACACTTGGAGGGGCTGTGGGAAAACAGGCACATGCATACAATGTTGGTGGATCTGTGAAGTAATAGTCTAGCCATTCTGAAAAGCAGTTTGAAACCATGCTCATAAGCTTACTAAGTTGTACATAATACCCTTTGTCCCAGCAATACTACTGTGAGGCCTTCTATCCCAAGGAGTTGGAAGAAAGATGCAAAAGACCCATGTATACAAAAATACTTGTAGCACTTCTTTTTGTAATGGAAAATAATTGTAAATTAAGAGAAGTTCCCAACAGCTGGTGAATGGCTGAACAAATTTTAGTATATGACTGTAATAACATACTGTTATACCATCTGAAATGACAGCAGGGATGGTTCAGAGAGACCTGGGAAGACTTGTTTGAACTGATGCAGAGGGAAGTGAGCAGAACCACGAATACAGTTTATACAGTGACTGTACCATCATAGGAATAAACAGCTTTGAAAGATTTCAGAATTCTGATCAGTTCAGTGACCAGTCGCAATTCCAGAGGACCGAGATGAAGCGTACTACTCACTTCTTGACAGATGATGGAACCAAGATACAGAAGAAGACATGCATGCATTTTTGGACATGGCCAGTACAAGAGTTTATTTTTCTTCACTATACATATTTGTGACAAGGGTTTTGTTTTTCTTCTCTATTTTTTTTCCCAGTGAGTTAAGGGAGGTGAGAAGAAGAGAAAATAAATGCTCGTCAATTGAAAAAAATTTTTTTATAAAATAATACTAGATAAAGGATATAATGTAAACATGCTTCTTTAGGAATCATAAGATTTTTCATCTGATGTTCACAAAGGCTTTTTTTTTCTTTTGATAGCAAAAAAAGATTATGTCATAGGAATTTGAATTGAAAGTTTGATGCTTTATTTAGTATCTAGTTAACTTGATCATTTTGCAGTGAAATAATGAAGCATAACTCAAGTTCAAAAGCTGTTTTGCTATCAATGACTTGTTTGAAAAATTTTGTCAAACTTTTGTTTATTTTTTTTAAACCACGAATTTAACCTGCAGATTTCACCGAAGTGTTACAAGACAAGTATTGTTATCATTGTAGTTGAGAGACACATTTAATGGATTTTCCTCCAAAATATTCCCCACCAACCTTGATGAAATTTCCTGAATAAAAAAGAAGCCTATGTGCATACACTTATAAAAATGACAAAAGACAAAGCTTCTGGGGAGGGAGTTTGGCAGCAGCCCGTATGCCCTATGCTCTCCTGGCTTATCCCCCATTCTTCCATCTTCTGGGAAGCCAACCCCAAAACATGACGTGTTGTCATCTTGGAGAGAGCACTAGCACTTCTGTGCTGGATCCTGCCCCACAGCAGATAGCCTCCTCTTTTTCTCCCATCCATGAAGGATGATAGAGAGGCTGCAGAAAGGACTTGGATGATACATCCTGGGGGACGTTTCTGTTCTCTCTGAAAAGAACAGGCCTGTTATTTTCACAATATGTCCTATATCAGTTCTTCAACTCTTATCCATACAGATGTAGAAGCTTGTTCTTCCCCATCTACCAAGACTGATCAGGCTGCATTTGGAAGCTTTACTGATGTCTTTATTTTTAATATCAGCCACATCACTGCAAATGTGACTCCTTGCTGGTTAGGTTTAGGTATGCCAAATCATAGCAGACTTCTACTCTGGTAGACCACGGTAAGATGTTGCTTCTGTTTTCATTTTCTAGCTGCAATTGATGCCAATCACAGGATCTTTACTTGTAATTTTCAATTGCAAGTTCACTAAGCAACTGTGTTTAAAAGCACCCACCTTCACATGTGTATTTGTCCAAATGTAGACAGCTGAGTATATATATAATAAGTACATAATCAGCTGGTGTTTGAAGCATGTAACAAAGATATTGGAAATCACAGAAGGATGAGAATTTACCAACAAAAAGTGGCCATCTAAAATCTGGATATAGAGCCTGCTGGATATATCTGTATCAGATCAGATTATGCTAGCAATACAAGGTGTAAATGGTATGAAGAAAATGATGCCTCATCTGTGTTTCAGTCCCTCTCCAAGAACATTAGGTCATTATGGGTGTAATTTCAAAAATGGCAATCCTTAGAAGCTGGCCATTTCTAGAAGCATACTCCTGGCTACTCATGTAAACCATTCTGGACAGGAATCACATCTTCTGGTGATTTTTTTATTAGAATGAAAATAACATAAAGGCCAGCCGTGTTCAGGAAGAAGTATGACCTGTTTCTTGGAGAGCATCTCTAATTCCTCCCACAATTTCCATGAGCTTTCCATCAATCTTCTGTTTCCCAAAGAGATGAGAGTAAATCTATTCCCCTTTGTCCTTATAATGAGATCCTTTCATTGTCAGAAAAAAACAAATCAGACATGACTTCCCTCTATCATCCATTAAACTGAGCAAATAACTCTTTTCTCTGATGATAAATATTCCCAGTAGAGAGGCTGTTTAATTTGGAAAGAAATCTTGTTTCGTAGATAAATACTTTTATAATTTAGGAAAGACTTGGTAGCTTTTTTCTTTATTTTGTTTCCAGAATGTAGCAAACCTCCCCCCTCCCCCCCAAAAAATAACTGCTGTATCTTCAAGATGGTGGTAATTCTGACAGTTGGATGGAAAGAGATTTGGTTCTAAATGAATCTTGAAATATGTCCATCTGATTTGTGTCTCACCTACAGGTCCAAATAATGATAAAATAAATACAAAGCTTCTGATAAATTTTAAGGAAAAGTAAGGAATTTTCTCCATTAAGATAGTTGGATATTTGCCCTCTTCTTAGTTTTTTTTTTCAGTTTTAATATAATATTTTATTTTTCCCCAACTGCATGTTAAAACAAATTTTTAAACATTTATTTAAAACGGTTTGAGTTCCAAATTCTATCCCTCCCTCCCCTTTCCTCTTCCTGAGATGGTAAGCAAACTGATAGAGTTTATACACGTACAATCATGTAAAACATTTCCATATTAGTCATTTTGTACAAGAAGGTAAAAAATTTTTAAAAAGTAAAAAACTTATAAAATAAAGTGAAAAGTAGCATGCTTCTGTCTTTCTTTGGAGGTGGATAGCACGCTTCATCATTAGTCCTTTGGGATTGTTTCAAAACATTGTATTGCTGAGAATAGCTAAGTCATACACAGTTCTTCATCAAACAGTATTGCTGTTATTGTGTACAACATTCTCTGCTTCTGTTTACTTCACTGTGCATCAATTCATGTAAGTCTTTCCAGGTTTTTCTGAAATTCTACTCCTTGTCATTTCTTATAGCACAATAATATTCCATCATGATCATATACCACAGCTTATTTAACTATTCACCAATCAGTGGGTCTTCTTAGTTATTCTAAAACGTATTTGACCACATTATGGAGTAATATTCTTTGATTGATTAATTTGTAGGTGAACTGGAGAAGTTGAGAAAAGACTGGAGTGTATTGGAAGCAGAATGCCATTCTCTAAAAAAGGAAAATATTTTGCTTTCATCAGAACTTCAGCGACAAGAGAAAGAATTGCATAGGTATGTAATTCAGAAGGGAAATGCGGGATATGTCTTTGCCTCGTGTTTTATATTAACTTTTTTATGTTTTCATACTTTTTGTAAGTGACATATTCATTATAACTCAACTTGACAAAATGAGCAATGTTGATTAAATAGCCATTTTGTGCAGGGTATACTGGCAGGCCCTGAATAATGAGATTATCTGTAAGCCAGGATGTTATACCATCTGGTTTTGTCCTGCCATGAGCATGATTCTAGACTTCCCTCAGAGAATGCAAATCCATTGGAATATTTACCTATAAATAAAGCATAATTAGGAATGTGATTCTACTCCAAAAATTCTATTACATGTTAACTTTCAAATACAGATGAATTTTGTCTTATCCATGCTATTGATTCTGCCCCACACACATACATCCCATACTATCACAAGTGATATAAATATTATATTTTGAATCCTAAAAAGCCATGTGAAGAGAAGAAATAAGTAAGATTATGAATTCTCAAAAATACAGGTATTCCTTGTGTATTGCAGCTTGCTGTAGTACTTGGTGTCAAACGACATTCTCTTCCCTTATTGACTACAAAATTGGAGAAGCTTTCAGCTGGAATAAATGGGGTTACCTCACCCCCCCCCAAAAAAAAAGAAAGAAAGCTTATTGAAGCCTTTTTTCCATGTGCAGAAGGTATCAGAAACAACTAAGAGAACTTTGAGAGTTATGTGGTGAATTTAAGCAGAGCAAGCTATGCATAATAGATATCGGCATTTTTCCTACTGTGAAAATGCTTGTTTTATTTGGTGTTTAGGTTCAGAATAAAATAAAATTTTAAATATACACAGAAGGAAGGCCAGGAGGAATCACAGAAAAGCAGGATAGCTGTGAAAGTTACATAATGAATTAATTATATATTTTAAAAGAAACTCAGGCTTTATATAACAGATTCATAGTTTCATGTATAGTCTTCCTTTTTTTTTTTTTTCTTTTTTGGCAGTTGGGGTTAAATGACTTGCCGAGGGTCACACAGCTAGCAAGTGTCAAGTGTTTGGTCTGAGGCCAGATTTGAACTCAGGTCCTCCTGACTTCAGGGCCAGTGCTCTATCCACTGTGCCACCTAGCTGCCCCTTGGTCTTCCTTTTTCTATTTTACTATGTATATGGGAATTATTTTCCTTTTTGTTAAAGTAGTAAAAATCTTTAAAAAGTAAAATGTCTGTGCAGTGGATAGAGCTCTGGCCTTGGAGTCAGGAGAACCTGAGTTCAAATCCGGCCTCAGACACTTGACACTTACTAGCTGTATGACCATAGGCAAGTCACTTAACCCTGAATGCCTCACCAAAAAATATCAATGAATGAATGAATGAATGAATGAATAAAAGAATAAAAGAATGTCTAGCCCCTGCAGATCTCAGGGTAGTTTGTATAGTATAGACCATGACTTGGCTTTTGTGTTAACAGCTCTCAGAAGCAGAGCTTAGAACTTACCAGTGATCTGAGCATCCTTGAAATGACCCGGAAAGAGCTGGAGAATCAAGTGGGATCCTTGAAGGATCAACATCTTCGGGATTCAGCAAGTTGGAAGACCCTTCTCAACAAAGCTGAAAATGAAGCAAAGGCTGTTCGGAAAGAGGTAAAGGGAAGAGACGTTGTGCAGACCCCATTGTGATGGGACTTCATGACAAAAGCACCTGATCTTAATTCAAGTTAGAACAGAAAGCAGTAGATGCATCAGATGTCACTTAAATGGATGCCTGTAGTACTTGGCATTTGTCTGTTCTTGTGTATCATGATGCAATGTGTCAAGAATTGAAGAGGACCCAGTGCAGAGCATCACTTGTTAGTTGGCAAAGTTCATGTTTCCTTTTTAATTCTTGTGTACTAGTTAATTATCCTACGTAAGGAGACTTTCTCTGATTGTTTACTCTTTCCCTGGTCTTTCAAAGTTAAGAGTATCAGAATGTCAGAATACAATCTGACTATTTCTGCTTGATCTTTAGTGTATTGCTGCCTCTTCCTTTTATTCCTTTGCTATGCTCCCTTGGATGTATTAGGAAGAATTACGTTATATGAGATTTCATTCTATGGCAGAGTAGCCCGGGGGGTTCTATTCGGGTTTAACTGTGCTCATTCTTCTAATGCCCAGTAATGCATGCACTTTATAGTAGTATTGGCATTAAGGGACCTTTGATTCAGCAATCTCTTCCTTGAAATTAATAAGGGATTAGGTTAACCTAAACCATAATTCTCAGTCTTTTTTTTTATGAGGAGCCCTTTTCTCATTCCCTGGATCTTTGAAATCACAGGAGGTGCTGATAGAAAACCAGTCCTCGCTGGGCTCTTCAGCAGCCAGTAATACGACTCTTCCTGCTAAGAATCTTGGCAGCCCCCAGAAAGGGAAATATGGCAGCATGTCCACCTATTGACCAGGGACCCTAGATCGAGGGTCTTCTTAATGAACAAGCAATGAGAAAGGCACCTCAAGAAAAACTAGTCTTTAATGCATTCCCGTGCTGGTTATTAGAAGATATTTGTTCATTCAGTGTAATTTTTTTTTTTTTTTGCTTTCCTTTCTTTGTAGTATCAAACTTGGAAATGATTGTTCTTCTGTCTTTATGTTTGTTACTAAAAACCTGTAAATTTCTTTGTGTTTTCTGTGGGTATTTTTATTCTGTAATATGTTCTTCCAGTCTTTGTTAAATATGTTAAATCAGAGAGAGGCTTCACTTACCATTTACTGGATCACAAATTGTGTGCCAAATTACATATGCCATTGTTTGAACAATCTCAACGCTTTGTAGCCATCTTGTCATCCATATTCCGTAATTCTATAATCCAGGAAGAATTATGCCTATGGAAGATGGTTTAATTGTATGTTAATATGAAGGCATTAGTCATTTTGTTCCATTATTCTTATGAATATTATGGTCATTGAATAGTAAGTCGATGCAATAAGGCTTTAACTGTTCATGTGAACGGCAGTAGCATGTTGTCCCAACCTCTTTGAGGGTTGGTAGTTGCTGGATTGCATTAAAGGCAGCCAATCATTTGACTATGTCTGATCTTGTCAGTGTAGTTCATGTGCATTTCCCTCTCAGCCTGTTTCATATTAACATGGCATAATTGTGTGGAATCATTATATTCTTGTAATATAAGGTGACTTATCTTCCCTTTTGCTGTGATTTAATTTAACTTGTTGTATATTATTCTATTATCCAAAATTTTGTGAATGTGTAAAGCTTCATGTATATGGAATTCACTTGAAATTAACTGGTATTACTTTTATCTCTGTATGCATTTTTCTCCACATTTCCTCTTTACCTTCCTTTCTCTTATAGCATCAACAATACATAAGTATTAGGGTAATATTCCTCACTCTTATAAGTCAAACTAAGGAAGATAGGCACTGGTTAGTTAGGTAAAGGGTAACTTGGGCTGCTGACAGATATTACATGCTGCATTTCCCTGATTCCACACAGAGCTCATAATCTCAAGTTATCAAGGTTATCAGACAAGCTGAACAAGGTCGTGGAAGTTCATCTCTGAATGGCTTTCTCAATGAACCAAAATGACTTCGTGCGCGCATGCGCGCACACGCACACACACACGCACACACACACACACACACACACACACACACAAGATTGTAAACTTTCAAAGGCTGTAGATAGCCTAGCTGTGGTTGTTGTTCATGTGAGGATGAAGCTATAAGACAAGAAGCCAGTGGTAGAGAATTCAGAAATGTTTATATTTGTCTTTGCAAAGTGTTTTCAGTCTTTGAAGTGATAGGAACGTGTTGTTCAGTCTTTTTTCAGTCATGTGCAATCTTTTGTGACCCCATTTGGGTTTTGTTGGCAAAGGTACGAAGGTGGTTTGCCATTTCCTTCCCCAGTTTATTTTATAGATGAGGAAACTGAGGCAAACAGGGTTCAGTGACTTGCCCAGGGTCACACATCTAGTAAGTGTCTGAGGCCAGATTTCAACTGGGGGAGATGAGCCTTCCTGACTCCAGGTCTGGCACTCTATCCGCTGCACCACCTAGCTGCCACGTTAGGAATTTACCTTATCCAAAAACTCACTGTACTTGTGATCCCTGCCGGAGGACTTGCCTTACTTGGGACCATGAGATTTATAGCATGAGAGGACAAGGGAGATCTTTTAGTCCAGTCTCATTATTTAGTAGAGAAAACGCAGACTGAGGAAGCTGAGGTGACTTGTTCAAGGTTACACGGTTGCAGAGGCAGGATTAGAACCTGGGTCTTTGGATTCTATTGCATGATGGAAAACATTCTAAAGGGCTAAAGCAGACAGAGTTTGGTGTCTCAAAACTTCTGTGTCACAGATCTGTGCCCTGCCTAGATTGGGATGCGTAGTCGAGTACTTTAGTTGAAGACGCTTTCTGCTGAGCTCCAGACAGGAGCAGCAGTCAAGATGCAAAGCAAACCCAGGAAGGTAGAAGCCTTCTTCACATTCATTGTAGAGCCCCAGTCTGCTCATCAGAGTCCGTGCTGTCATTGCAGTGCCAAGGCTTAGAGGGCTCGGTACAGTGAGAGCCTGTTGGCCGGGCAGATGGACTTGGAGCCACTGCCGCCAGAAGACCCAGTGCTCAAAGAAAACCGCATCAGACCTTCTTTGGGAGAATGGTCATAGAATCAGACAGTTTCTTGGGTGCCTCCCTAACTGCTTCTGGGCACCCTGCTTCAGTGGCCCCTGGGCCGCTTGTGCCTCATCTGTCAAACCGTCCCTCCTCCTCCTCTAAAAGGACCACAACCAGCCATAACCAACTGATCTCAGTATAAGTTAATCTGTTTTCAAAGGTCCTAACACCAAGACTGACTGTTTACATGCACTCCCAGCATCGACTGGACCTTAGAGATCATCTAGTTTAACAGTCCAAGAGCAATTTACATTTTTAAAAAAACCCACATGATGAATAAAATTCCAGGCACTGCAGCAAAATGAAGTTGATGTCAGGCAGTGTTGAGGAGAACCTTTTCAGTACTTGGAAATCCTCGGGAATGGGAGCTGTGTTCGGTTTGTTGTGTTTAGCTTACATACGACTCCTCTATTTCTGTCCCCTTGAAAACTTTCAATTTTGTCCTTGGGGACTCAAAAAACAGAGGCTGTGACTAGATAGCGGTTGAGAGGAGGCGGCCCATTCACGTGCAGGCACAGGCACATCTTTCTGTCCATGCTGTATGTTTTGTCAATCGCACACACTGTGTGAGAGAGTTAAATCCTCCTTTTCCATCACAGCATCTAACATGTAGGTACTTAAATTTAAAATAGCAATTACTTTCCGTTTCATAACAGTGATAATGTCAAATCCATTTAATTCATAAAACATTTAATACGAGCTGAATTTAGTCAAGGCACTGTGCCTAGGTTCTAGGGCTGAAGAAGCAAAGAGCTTGTCCTCCAAGAGCTTATATTCTACTGTACAACAGTTACCCAAATATAGAAGCACACTAAAAAAAAGTTAAATGAGAGAGAGTAGTTTAATAGCTGAGCAACTTGAGAAGGCTCCATGGAGATGATGGTGCTGGAACTGAGCTTTGCAGGAAGCTGTGGATTCTAAGGAGTTGGAAATGAGGAGAGACTGCCTTCCAGGCATGGGGATAGCTTGGACATATAGGCGCTGAGACAGGACTTGGAATGTCAAGTCCAGGGAAAAGCTGAGTGGCCCAGTTGGGCCAGAATGTGTACAGTTTATAGTAGGGATTAATGCAGCCAGATTTATCTAGGCACACGAGTTTGTGTGGAGAGGCTAGAAACAGGGAGTTCATCTAGGTATCTGTTAAATAGTCTAAGGGAGAGTATATGGACTAGGGTGGTAGCCCTATGAGTGGAGAGATCCCTGTGAAGGACGTGGTGGGGGGAGAGGAGAAGAAACCAGGTGGGAGGGATGGAAAAGGAGGAAGGCAAAGGTGTTGGGTTATAAACCAGGGGGTATGGGGCTGAGAAGATGAGAGAGCTGGGCTCGATGGTGGCGTGTGGATTGGGACGTGTGGAACTTGAAATACCCTTGGGGGCTTCAGGACTCAAAGACTTGAGGGCTGTGAGTGTTTTCCCAAGTAGACATTCCTCTTGGCTTTTATCACTTAAGCTTTGGAGTCTTCTTTTCCCTTATCTTCTCTTGGAGCCTTGGTGGGGAGGGGGAGGGACTTGGTTTAGAGAAGCGAGATAGATCATTGACTCCCTGGCCAAAAAGGGCTGATGCCATCAGGTCACAGTGGTCATCTTTTGTCTGACTCCTCCAAGAAAGACTCCTGCCCCTTCCACATTTGTCCAGGACAGTGTAGAAGCCTGTGGAGAAGAAGCCCGGCTCCACACCCATTCTAAGCGGGGTCTGCCCACTGTTTTTTCTTTGCCTATAGTATGAAAGGACACAGACTCAACTCTCAGAGCTGGAGCTGAAGTTTCAAAGGACCGAGCAGGAAAAACAATCCATCACCAGTGAGCTCAGACAATGTCAAGACACCCTGAAGCAGCTACAAGAAAAAGGAAACAATGTAAGTCTTTACAAACTTGGGGTCGGTTTGGATGAGGTGCGGAGAATGCAGGGCTTCAGTTGGTATCCCCAAGTACCCATGACAGAGTCCTAGAGCCCTCCGTGTTCTTGGCTGTCCTACCCACCGGTGTCATGGTAAACACCTATACCCATCATCCCCAAAGAAAGGGAGTCATTTGTGGAATCACTGTGGTGGTCAGCAATATGGTGAGAATTTCCCCTTGTGGTCACACAAATATGGGTAAGTACTGGGGCCTTCATGAGGGAAACACTCAATTGCAAGAAGAGGAAGCATCCTCTGACGAAGTTCACACCCTCCACACTTGACTTGTCTTCCATTCTAATCTCTGGGTTACCCCACCCAGAGACTTCTGTGACCTATATGACCAGAAGAAGACATTTATCCCTTATTTTTGGATACACACAATACCAATGCCCAGGGGTTTTTCCATCATATCCAATGAAAATTTCATGATGGCATAATTCTCTCTAGTTAGGATTAGAAAGATGAAAGTTTACTCCGATCTTTTCTCTTTCTTGGGAATATTGGAAAATATTTGTGTAATCAAGGATGTTATGATATAAATCATGAATAGCAACAGTTTGAATTTGTATTTGCTTTTTAAAAGAAACATTAGTTACCCTTAATGTTGTTGTGTGTATTTAGTTATCGCCGACCTCGTGAGCTTTCACTGGTGGGTGTTCTTTCATGTGACTGACTTTGCAAGTGTTAGTAGCTTTGACTATTCTAAGTCTCCTGTCACTGCTTTGGGAACTGCAGTGGTTGTGAGCAACACTTTTTTTTTTGTGTGTGTGTGTGTGTTTGTTTTTTGGGGGTTTTTTTATTTTTTGTTTTTGGTTTTGGGTTTTTTTTTGGTGGACGCTGGCACAAGGCTTGATTGGCAGCACCACTGCACACATAGGTAGTCGTGCAACTCACTGGTCACGTGCAATTTGTCCTGCCCCCAGAACATTCTCTATTGGCATATAATCAAGACTTGTTTCACGAGGTGAGGCCTCTTAAATTGGTGATAAGCCATGGATGGAGTTTTTACTACCAAGTGATAATGGTTTATTTTTATCTTAATAGCTATATGAGGACTCTATAATAAATTCATGTTTTTAGGTTACTTCTTTCTTTAGTTTTAGTTTTACCTTCCTGATTGTGGAAATTCAGTTCTATTTCTAAAAAAAAAAATTACCCTAAAAAGGCATCTAGCATAATCAGAATTGTAGCCCTGGTGTCATAAGAACCAATAACTTCTCTCCATAGTGATGTTTAAAAATAAACAAGAATTCCAAAGTAAAATGGTTTTTGCTCAAAAGAAACTTGCCGTTTCACTATATAAAAGCAATTCGAGCCCATGTTCTATTAACACTCATACACGTATGCGCCCAGAGAGATGTTCCTCACAATTGAAATTTGTTTCGGTAAGTGCACAGTGACTGGAGTATATTTTGCCAGTTTAATATGATCTCTCTGATAACGTGTAACTTACAGCCCCACAGCTTCTTTGCTGCCTTTTTTTGAAAGGGAGGATCATTCACGGTTTCTTTGGTGCCTAATGCAACCCCAGGAAGTGTCCTACACCAGAGGATGAGTGAAGGATTGATCTGAGACCTTGTCTGAGAGTCAGGAAATAACCATATGGATCATAAATCGTTAGTGATTTCCAGTGGTTACCTTGTCCAAAGTTGTTTTGTGCACATAGCTCCTATCACAAAGCAGTACACTAACAAATAGTTTGGCAAGTTAACGTAAAATTGAACCAGGCATTTTTCCTAAATTAAATTCCATGTGGTGTAGTGAAACCTACACTAATTTCCTTGACTTGTTTGTGTGAAGGGAGTAGTATGCTGGTGTACGACAGTCCGACATTCTGTATTGTGTTAGATGTCTTTCATACGTTCTTATTCATGCCATACTTAATGCTATGACTTAGCTTTCCCCCATCTAAATCATCTGATCTGATTTTTAGAGCACAAAATGATTTTTAATTCCCTTCCCTTCTTTAGCCGTCCATATTCCAACCCGTCCCAGCCGTTTTCATCGGCCTATTCCTGGCTTTCCTGTTTTGGTGTTACGGTCCATTGTGGTAGAGAAAGGTACAAGCACCCTGTTGAGTCGATGTCTGTCCGTCCCTGTCACCTCTTTGTGCCATATTTGTAAACTAGTGCATGGGGAACAACACAGGTATTTTGTTTCCTGAAGCAAACCCTTCATTTGTGCTTCCTCCCACCAAGCTCAACGATCAACTAATCATGTAACGTTCTGTCTGTTTCCTTTGTGGTAATGCTAACCATGAATTAATTCCAAACATCCCAGTTGTTCAATGTTCAGCTTCCAGCTGGGTCTTTGTCTCTCGCAAAAGCAGAGTAAACTTTTTGTCTCTAGTGCTGCAGTGTTGGTCAGTGCTCTCCAAAAGAAAATGAGAAGTTCACTCAGGTTTGAACAAGAAATGAAGAGTTTGCCTCTCCATTTTTAAGCCAGCTTCCTTTTCCTCCCCAACTCATCCCCTTAATACTGTGGCAGTTATTTAATACTTTTTCTCTTTTCACTGTGGCTGTGAAGAAGATGAAAAAGGATGAAATTGGAATAGTGGACTCGTTATCCCAGACCCAATTAAGCCTGCACGGCTCTTCTCTTCCAACACACCCTTCGCCATAGCTTTCTGATCTCTGACTTGTTAAAGAGGAAACAGTAGTTTAAAAGCAGTTCGGCTTTATTGGTTTTTGTTTTTTGGGGAGTTGGGGGTGGGAGGTGGTCAATACCCACTGGGAACAAATTAAAGGAAAGCTGATAACAAGATTAGGTTGGTCATAAAAGGAAAGATTTAAGGTTGATTTCAGGGTTGGTTTGCATTGCCCATGGCGTTTTTCTTATTGGTGGGCAGATTTGTTTAACTTGAAACCAGCATGCAAACTGTGCTAAATTGGGTCAGAAGTCTACCTGAAGTGTAACAAGTGGAATTTAGCACAGGTTTTAAACTATCTATTTTTTGAAGTCTTGTGTGGTCTTCAGGTCACTCTACCCCTTACCCCAGTCTACACTCCCCCTCCCTCCAACATGCCCTTAACACATGCTGGGCCTTGAATTGAGAAACCTAAAATTTAGCCTAAATGTGTTGTGGTGGAAGCACCTCTGTACAGTTCATTTTTTTAGACTGTTGAAAAATCTTGGTATAGTGTGAATAAAGGAGTTTCAATCCTGAGAGGTTTAACATAAGTCTCTCTTCTAGGTGCCAAATGTGTAGCCAGGTTGAGAACTGCTAAGGACATTTCCTGGTGATGTGTTATCCTTCTGCATAGTTGGCCACTGGAATTGTACCTGCCAGTCAGATTGCCTTTTTTGTTTTTTAAATGAGTCTCCTGGTTTAAGAAGTCAAGATTTTCTGACAGTGAGAGGTAGAATTAAGATTCACTGTGCTTTGTGATGAGTTTTCAAGATTCTTTGGACAGAGGGCTTAGTTCACTAGTTGGTATGAAAGGCTGAGGGAAATGTGATATTGACTCTTGGTTTCTTTCTGCACAGAGACACTGGCCTTGGATGCCCATGTTGGCAGCTCTGGTAGCTGTGACAGCCGTAGTGTTGTATGTACCAGGCCTAACCAGAGCTTCACCATGAGAACTTTGGTTGGTTCCGTATCCTGCCCTCCTCTTAGAAGCTGGCGGGGAGAACAGATCCATTTTCTTCCTTTTTACCTCTTAATACAACAAAAGTGCAAGAAAAGAACAGTCGGGGTCATTGCTTTAAATTGTATAAAATGTATCTGTCTATAAAGAGGGAATAAAATTGTGACTTTATTCTACTGTAAGCAATAATTTGCTTGCAATTTTTCATGTAATTTTTTAATTAGTATGTTGAGATTCTAAATATTATGGTGGCCTAAAGTAGGCTTCTTGGTACCAAATTATTTATAACATTTAGGTTTATGACTATTTTACTCTAGATGCTGATTGCCAGATAATTCATTTTCTGATTGGACACATCCCCAAACCAAACAGCTGGTAAATACATACATGGGAAAAGAGGCACTGTGTGCTCAGTGCCTATCATTTTGAAATAAATATATGCACATATATTTTTTTTACATATTGACACCATTTTTACTTGCTATAAACCACTGAGCTATTGGGAACAACGGCTACTATAGCTATAGAGACAACGGCTACTTCCATAGATTTTTTTTCAAGGAAAAGACACATTTGGGAAAGGTTCTGTTTTAGCAGCGATTTGAGAAGTATACATGCTTTGGTGCAGCCTTAATGTGACTTGAAGATGTGGATGGCATCAGCCTGGAAAAACTTTGTAAGAGTGTGTGTATTTTCTTGAGTGAACTGAAGTATTTCTGGGAGCAAAAAGATAATCATTTCACAGCTACAGCAACAGTAAACCAAACTGTTCAATTGGAATGTAATTTATTCAACTTTATGCATTCAAAGTAGAGAGACCATTTCTTTACTTTCTCATCTACAACATTTTAGGAAGCATGGTTGTTTTTTTTTTCCTCCTCACTTATTCTTCCAAACATTGCTTTAAAGAGGGAAAATGTGTCTTCTTTAGATAAACTTTTGTTGACTTAACTTTGTTATGAGAGTTTGGAGTGCATCTATAGCTGATCGATCTACTGGACGAGGTGAATTTCTGTAAACCCAGGGAATGAATCTTACGGTTAGGGATGCAAATGGCTTTATTTCTTTTGTTTTGTTTTGTTTTGTTTTTGTCGTTTTTTCAAACTGAGTAGTTTCGTTCATGAGAAGCACTACTTCAGTTGGGATCTTATCAGTTAAATGCCCAAGTCAAAAAGTGAGCTACAGTTTTTTGTAGCTCAATGGTTATGTCAATAAAGTTTGCTGAAATCTCTGTAATATACTGAAGTATTAATAGAGTGATGGTTTTTTAGAAAATGGAGATGAGAAAAAACTCAATGAATTGGCTTGGATTCTCCATGGCAATCTACAGGTCTTGCCAAATACTTAAATAGGAGTTTAGTATCTAATTTGCCTTGTGAGGTTTTGGGGGTCATTGTTTATATGTTAAAGGTTATATTTTAAGCTATTGGGGATTTGCTGTTGGGAGAACCATTAGATTTATGGAAGAATTAGTCCACAAATGACTTGCAGAAAATATCACCTTGTTCGTTTCACCATTTTTCTGTTGCAGGAAGCTATTCCCTCACAGAATGCTCATATGCCAGTGGTACTCTGTACCTCTTGTATATAGGTTATTGCAAATATTGTTCTGAAATGCTTAACTTCAGAATTACATTTTTTTAAAGTAAATAATTGTTTTAAATCTATTTTGTAAAGATATAAAGTACAATAGAATTTCTGGAATACAGATTAAACTATTTGCACTAACACACGTGATGTGCATGATTTAATAAAATAACTTTACTCTCCCTATGCATGTTTGAGTTGGATCTCATTTGAAACCTTTAGAGTTGACATTACCATTGGGTTCATAATGCACCTGTCCTAAAATGGCAGTATGACAGTCACCTACATATGGTATGTTTGGTATTCTTAGGATTTGTTAAAAACTGTAAGCCTTGTTTAATTAGACCATTCATAAGTCTCCTACCCCTAACATTTCTTTCCTTTTCATAAAATAACTGAGAGTGCTGAAGAGCTCCAGTCCCTTAACATAAAATAGTGGAACAATTATGTGATGTGAACCCAATGTTTGTAAGCAACACCTCCATCTTCTTGTTTTCATTCAATTTCGCATCTGGATATTTTTATCCTAATACAAATACTGAGATATTGTAATCAGGCAAGATAACTTGACAATCATTTCTACCATGAGAGGTGAAGATGTTTTAGGAACAATAAATTTATACATACATGCCCTGAACTTTCTGCATACCAGTTTCAGGCTCCCATGGCAACTTTTTTATTTGATCTGCAGGAGCTGAAGTCTTCTGGTTTTTAAAATAAGGGGAAGATATTTTAGAGTATTCTGACATATCTAAAATGAGTTGACTGAACTTTTGACTTGAAAGCTGGTTATATTTATTTGACGATAACAGCCTACCATACTTATATATACAAAATGTTCTACTAAATTAACTAATCCTTTTTTCACACAAACACCACCATGAATTAGTATTATCCCTGCCAAGGCAGTATCTTTGCTTAAGCAATGCTGTTGTTACTAGAAGCAGGTTTTTATTGCTTCTCTTAGAACTGTTGTTAGACACACACAAACATACACACATAGATATACGCACCTCTTCCTCATTAATTATCAGATATAACCATAAAGGTTGGGTTTTGTTTTGTTTTAGGCAAAATGTTACTTCCAAGATTGATCACTCATTTATTCACCAAACCTAAATCCAGATGACGTTTGTTTCCAAAGATCAAAATTATAAGGATGGAAATTTGTCCCCATTGAGGTCAAACAGAAGAACACGCTCCTAGTTCAGAAGGCAGTCCCCAAATCCAGCCGTATATCCATCCAGCAAGCATCTAAGTGTCAAGCGTGGAGCCCTGCCGTCATGATAAAATTAGCAGTCAGTCTCCCAAGAAAATGGCCTTAGAGAGGGCCTCACTTACTGCCATGCATGATGCAGTTTATTTGGATCTATAGAATCATTAAAGTGGAAGTAACCTTAACGATCATCTTCTCTAATCTCCTTATTTTGCAGATGAGGAAAATGACCTGAGTAAAATGACCTTTCCCAGGACACAGACCTGTCTTTGCCACTAACTCTAAAATCACACACATATACCCAGACACACATATTATCAGGCATCTGTTGTGGGCAGGGGACTCTGCTTTGACATGCCTGCATCAGGGAGCTTTGCAGGCTGTATAAAGGATAAAATCTATCTAGAAAGAGCTTTTGATGGACACTTGAAGAGGAAACTGAGGTCTATGAGGGCGAGTGACTTTCCCAAGGTCATAGAACTGAGCCAAAACCTGCATCCCCCATTCCCCTTTTCCCTGTGTCTGAATTCCAGTCTTCTCCCCAGTGCCACCTAGGGCTTCATTGTCCTGAAAATAATTTTCTTAAAATAACCCGTGCTAATAAGTAGGCCAGTGCCTCTCTCAGGAGCTATGCCCAACTTCTGGCAAATGCCTTTTTCATTTGAGGGCATAGGCCCAGCAGTTCTTTCTGTGAAGACAGGGCTGAGAGACCATTCAGAACGAATATGACCTTCCACCTGCTTAAGTCATCTTGCTGTGGCTCACAAAATATTTTTATTTCTCTGGCAACATCATCTAGGAATGGCCTTCAGCATATCTTCCACCGGGAATTTTAAAAATCATAGCCAGTTTTTTGACTCTCTTAAATTTAGGCATGCCAAGAAGTCATATTACTTTTATAAGAATGTCTTTCTTTATAACACACTTATAATGTGTTAATATGGTTGTCTAATTTATTTTTTTATTTTAAAAATTTGGTTCTAAATACAGACCCTTAAATTAAAATGCCATTTAGGACATAGATTCTTTTGAGGGTCAGTGATTGGTAATAATAACAACAATTAGAATTTATTTAGTGCTTTAAGGTTTGCAGAATCCTTTACAAATATTTTTTCCTCACGTCGGTCTTGGGTGATAGGTGCTATTATTATCCCTATATTACATATGGGGAAATTGAGGCAGGCCATGATGAAGTGACTTGAGATCAGCAGGTGGAGTGAGGCAGATATTTCAGAGCTCAGAAGACTCAAGAAAACCATAAAGAACAAGAAATTAATAATTTCTTTTCTTAGAGGAGATTTTAGGCAAAAAAAAGGGCACTATCCATTTTAGCCCTAGGACTTTTGATAATTGCCCCTTGGTCATGGATGAACCCAGTGTCATCTGAACTGTGTGTCTTTGCTCAATGAATTTGTGTCCGCAGGCTGTGAGCTTTGGTGCTGACTGAAAGGGCAAGTGTTGTCAAGGTAAGCAACATTGATGTTAAAAGTTTTAGAGATGTTTTTCCTCCTAAAGTTGTTTTTAAGATTTTCTTTGCCCAAAATGCCTTTTCATTTACTGGAGTTGCCTATAGATCAGTGTTTCGTTTCCTCTGTCATCTTGTTGAGCCTCCTAAAATCTATTAGCTAAATGACTTTGGGCAAATAAATCACCTAATGTCTCAGAACCTATGCAGCTCTCTAAGTTACAAACAAACAAGATCTGTGTGTGGCATACTTGTACCTTAGAGAGCTGCATGGGTTCTGGGATGTTAGGTGATTTATGAGTCAATGGAGGAACTTTGTAGTTTTCCACTCTAGAAGTTCTTTCACCAAAGAAATCACAGGTCTGGATCAAGTTATGTTACATTTCCTTTTACATCAAACCCAAATCCACCTCCCTCTAACTTTTCCCTCATTGGTTTCTGATCTACACAGAGCCAAACAGAACACGTTTACATCATCTTCTATAAGCTAGCCCTTCAAATTAGTGGAAGATTTTGCCTCAAATCTCTTAAGAGAACGACTCCAGGTTAAACATCCCCACTTGCCTCAATCAACGCATTGTCAAGGAGCACTGTTTGTTTGGTTTTTTATTAGACAATACAAATTATTTTCTTAAAACATATTTTCACATTAGTCATGTTGTGAAGAAGAATTAGAACCAGTAGGAGGAACCACAAAGAAGAAGAAACAAAACAAAACAGAAGGGAAAAAAAAAGAGCAAATAGTATGCTTTGATCTGTTTTCCAATTTCACAGTTCTTTCTCTGGATGTAGATAATATTTTCCATCATGAGACTTTTGGAGATGTCTTAGATCCTTAGATTGCTGAGAAAAGCTAAGTCTATCAAAGTTTGTCATGGCACAGTGTGACTGTTACCGTGTACAGCGTTCTCCTGGTTCTGCTTCCTTCACTCAGCATCAGTCCATACAAGTCTTTCCAGTTTTTCTGAAGTCTGCCTGTTCATTTCTTATAGCACAATAGTATTCCATTATATTCATATACCACAACTTGTTCAACCATTCCTCAATTGATGGGCATCCCCTCAATTTCTAATTCTTTGCCACCACAGAAAGAGCTGATCTAAATATTTTTGTACACGTGGGTCCTTTTCCCATTTTTATGATCTCTTTGGGATACAGCCCTAGAAGTGCTATTGCTGGGTCAAAGGGAATGCACATTTTTATAGCCCTTTGGGCATAGTTCCAAATTGCTCTCCAAAATGGTTGGATCATTTCACAACTCCACCAACAATGCATTAGTGTTCCAATTTTCCCACATCTTCTCCAACATTTATCCTTTTCCTGTTTTGTCATGTTAGCCAATCTGATAGGTGTGATGTGGTACCTCAGAGTTGTTTTGATTTGCATTTCTCTAATCAGTAGTGATTTAGAGCATTTTTTCATATGACTATAGATAGCTTTAATTTCTTCATTTGAAAACTGCCTGTTCATATCCTTTGACCATTTATCAATTGGGGAATGACTTGTATTCTTATAAATTTGACTTAGTTCTCTATATATTTTTAGAAATGAGACCCTTATCAGAGATACTGGTCATAAAAATTCTTCCCCAGTTTTCTGCTTCGCTCCTAATCTTGGTTGCATTGGCTTTGTTTGTGCAAAAACTTTTCAATTTAAGGGAATCAGAGTTAGCCATTTTGCATTTCATAATGTTCTCTATCTCTTGTTTGGTCATAAATTCTTCTGCTCAAGGAGCACCATTCTTGAGCCCCTCTCTAGTCTGGTTTTTCTTTATCATTGTCCTCCCTCAATGCACCAGATGTGATCTGACCAGAGCAGACTACAGGAGGATTATCCTTTGTCTTCTTTTAGGCACTCAACCTCAAGTCACCCAGGGCTTTTGGGGTGAAACCTGCAATCCACTAAAGCCCTGTAGGTCCTTTTTTCATACGAAATAAGATCTAACTACACGTCCCCCATCCTGTATATGCAGTCTGTATGTATGTATGTGTGTGTGTGTGTGTGTTTTTCAAATAACCGAGTGAAAGACTTTTTATACTGATAAAATTTAATCTCCCTACATGCTGCCCTTTGTGTTGGATCTTTTAAAATCCTTCCTCCTTACTTAGAGCTTCATGAAGACACGTTATTGTGTCTTGCCTTTGCATCCTCCAGCCCTAAACATAGCACTCTGGATATGAGTGTTGGGGGTGGAGAAGGCTGGTTCAGGACCTGTGATTTCATCTGCATGAGGAATTCCCAATGCTTGAACTTCTTCTGCCCTTGTCCATCATCAGCTCAGCTGTACCTTAGAGGTCTTCATTGAGATGTTAAGCGACTTACCTGTGGCCATAGAAAGGATTTAGAAGCAGTGCTTCTCTCAGCCTCAGTTTCTTCATCTGTAAGATGAGGAGGTTTGACTAGATCAGTAGTGTCAAACTCAAATAGAAATGGGGATTGCTAATCCCATACATAAGGATCCCTACAGGCTACATATTGATTTAGAAAGTCATATATTAGTATTAT